GTTGGCGCAGGATAGAGCAGGGTTTAGGGCTGTTGTGCATAGGGTCGCTATGAGTCGGAAACGACTCGACGGCACATAACACCAACAACAACAAGCAGGACAGCAGTGTCTGTGAATGCGCCTCTCCCCTCCCCTGCTCTTCCTGGGCACACTGACAGCTGTCACCAAGGCCAGCATCATGGCTTGTGGGGATGACCCTGTGTGGACAACCAGTATGAGCCCCACTCCCACAAAAAGGTGGCTGAACGGTTCATGTGGCAAAGTCAGCCTGGGGAGGAGCCCGAGAGCTAATTTCCTTTACTAAGTTTCTCCAAGGTCAAAACTACACAATAAGGTTCAGAGAAATGAACTGAAGGCATCTTGGGAGCAGTAGGGTAAATGGGTCCACAGAATGAAAGGCCCCCCCCTTCTCACAGATCCCAGAGTCCCTGGGTGAAGCAAAAGGTTAATGTTCCTGGCTGCTAACAGAACAGTTGGAGCTTGCAGTCCACCCACATGGCTTGAAAGAAAGGCCTGGCGATCTACTTCTGAAAAATCAGACAGTGAGGACCGTATGGAGCACGGCTCCACTTTCACACTAACCGGATTAACACGAGTTGGAATGACTGCATGACAGAGATGTGGCGCCTGTAACTGCCTACACAGGGGACGTGCTGCCCTCCTGTGGCAGATCTCAGGAGAGGCTGACTCCAGCAGATGCGTCTTCCTAAGTGAAATGGTTTGTTTGTTTTGTTTTTCCCCAAACTTATCTAAAAAGTCTATAGGTGAATTTGTGGATAGGGAGTTGGGCTGCCAACTCAATGAAGGTGGTTCAAGTCCTCCAGCTCCTCATCAGGAGAAAGATGGGCAGTTTCCTTCTTCACAGCCTCTGAAAACCCTCTGGAGAGTCAGCTATGGATTGGTCCCAACACTACAGCAATGAGTTAATTTTGGGGGTTGGTACAGGGAGCCCTGGTTGCATAGAAGTTAAGTGCTTTACTGCTTACTGAAAAGTTTGAACTGACTATGTGCTCCGTGGGAGAAAAACGTGGGCAGTCGGCTTCTGTGAGTATTTATAGCCCTGGAAACTATGGATCAATTCTACACCATCCCAGGGTGTAATTGTATGAGTTGTAATCACCGCACAGTTAACCAGTTTGGTTTTGACTAGGGTGTGGTACAGCCTTGGTTAGTGTAAAGAGTTTGCACTGAGCTAGTAACTTAACCAGTCCTTGGAGACATTGTGCTTAGAATGGTGAAGGGACAGCGCAGGAGAGGAAGACCCTGGATGAGATGGATTGACTCAGTCAGTGACTGTGGCAGTGGAAGCAGGTGTGTCAGAGACGGTGAGGTTGGCTCAGGATAGGGTGGGGTTCAGAACCATTGTTCATAGGGTCACTATGCGTTGTAGTTAACTTGACAGCACATAACAACAACAGCAACGTAACTTAAAGTTTGGTGATGTGAACCCACCCAGCAAACTCAGGGAGGAAAGGACCGGAAGTAGACATCTCTAAAGATCACAGTCAAGAAAGCTCTGTGGGGTAGCTCTACTTTGCATCACACAAAGCTACTATGAGTCAGAATCGGCAAGAAGGTAACGCATCTGAGTTTTGTTAATTTGGAGGTGGTGCATTGTATAGCACAGGAGAAGGATGGGCAATCTCCTCCCGTGAGATTAACTGCCTCTGAAAACCCACTGGAGGGTCAGTTATGGGTCAGTTCTGACTTGGTGGTCCACCACCACCACCACCACCACCACCATGTGTTGTATTGCATGTGTGCGACCTAATAGAGGCAGACAGGGAGGAATGCACGGCTGCCCTGGGGACACCTCGGCGAGCTGTTGCCTGTCAGCTGAGCGGGAACCTGCTTTTTAGGGCTCTTCCAGAAGGAAGTGAGGTGCTACCTGCATGCACCCCTTGCCTTGCCTCCCTCTTTTTAGTAAGGGATCCCTCTTCTTTTCTGAGGAACAGCTCCTTTAGGACCAGGCTTGAGGGTCACCGTCTGCCACCCCATCTCACACCTGACAGCATAGATGAGCAGCTATATCTCCCAGGAGGAGCCTGGGTCAGCGCAAGGCCTTGTTCCAGGTTACTGCACAGGCAGGGAGGTGTAGAACAAGTCAGAATGTGGCATGCACCCCCCAACCCAGAAGTCCTGGAGGCCCTCTCACCCCACATCTGAAACTCCCTAGTGAAAACCTAATTTCTCCTTAAACTCCTTATTTAGGACATGTGTTACGTGAATGAGTGTGTTTATCCTGGTTTGTGAACAGGTCTAGCAAAACAAAGATCCTGCAAGGAATGTTCATATTAGGTTGCTAGGAATCAAAGCTAGTAGCCCTGGTGGCACAGTGGCTAAGAATTTGTTGCTAACCAAATGGTTGGCAGTTCGAACCTATCCAGTGACTCTGCAAGAGTAAGATCTGGTGGTTGCAGAAAGATTAGACTCCAAAACCCTGCAGGCCAGTTCTCTGTCACGTGGTGGTGGTGGGGAGCCTGCAAGTCAGAATCAACCATATGGCACCCAACAATAACATGACTCAATGCAGGAAGAATCAGCCTGTGTTCTCAGTTGGCCGCAGTTGGGAGGGGTAGACACCGAGAAGTGGGTGTGAGTTATGTGCATGTGGCATAAGGTAACATGAGATGGTGGTGTGCGTGAGGGGGTCCTGGCCTTGAGGCTGAAATAAGCAAGTAGAAGGTTTCCAGATGAACCCAGGTGTCCCCAGTGGGGTTTACCTGCCTCGAACCTTCTTTACAGACTCTCATCTCCTTTTCAGGCTCAGATCTGAGTTTAGGCCGCTCGGGAACCACTGAAAAGCACCAGGACTCCAGCCTGGCTCTAGCTTCCTCAGGGCTGCGCGGGGCAGGCGTGGGGGTACTCACTGGGTCCAATGGAATGTCCCCCGATGTAGGCAAAGACACAGATGACGCCGAGGTAAGACAGCCAAGGGACTGTGCTCTGTGGGGACAGGCAGGGCTGTCTGTGGCTGGGAGGGCTTGGTCAGACAACCTCTGAACAGAGACCAAATGCCCTGCAAGCAGGCAGTTCACCTCCTGCCACAGGAAGATTGCCCAGTACCCAAGTGATTACAGGCCTGGGCCTCAAGGGCTCTGTGGGTGAAAGAGAGAGAGAGGAAGATGAGAAAGCGACTGCCATGCAGCCTTTGATTGTTGGTGAGTAATCTCACCTACCTTCCTTCTCAGGAGGGACAAGAGATGCGGGCGGGAGCTGCTGGCATATGAGTTCCTACCAAGTGCTGCCCTCTGCTCTTCAATCCACCCTCTCATGTTATCTTCACGGCTATCCTCTGAGCATATCACTGCTTCCATCCCACAGAAACGTGAAGCCTGGACACAATGGAGCTTGGCTGGATCGGTAAACGTACTAATGTCCTTGGGAAGGCTTCTTACGTTGAAACCTTCCCATGTGTCAAGATCTACCGCAGCCTCTAAGGATCTCTGGTGGCATAGTGTGTTATGTTCTGCATAGATAATTGAGAGGTCAGCAGTTTGAATCCACTCTGTGGGGGAAAGATGAAAAGCCTCCTCCTGCAAAGATTTATAGTTCCAGAAATGGAAGTTCCCAATGGAGGGGTGAGGTGGCCTTGACGTGGTAGAGGTAGGTTGCAGACAACTATCACATACACCTTGGAGATGTGTTTGAGTGAGCCCTGGATGCAGACTGAGAGAAGACTTGGCCTTTCAAGGATCAATGGCATTCTAATCACGCCCTCAGCAGGTGAAAAGGTTTGGATCTGGGCTCCCTATGCCATTCTCTGGGTAGAACCCTTGTAGGAAGCACAGACAATGAGAAATGGTAGATATCAATGCACAAAGACAGAATGGCTTGCAAACCCCACCCCCCACCCCCGGCCCCAGGTCAACAGTCTAAGTCAGATGTCTAAATAACTGAAGTGCAGACAGAGGTGACAGGCATCAGAGATCAAGGAAACGTCATCTGCCCACGGGCCCAGATTGCATGATCTAATCCTGGGCTACCTTTTTGCTCACTGCGTGGCCTTGGGAGAGTTGATCAACCTCTCTGACGCAGGTTCTTCGAGAAGAAAAAAAGATTGAGGAGAGGGCCTCTTCTTCAGTGGGTTGTCTTGAGGAGTTCATGAGTTGATGGGCGTTAGTTCATTGGACAGCATTGTTGCTGTTATTGTTGTTAGGTGCTTTCAAGTTGAGTATGACCCATAGTGACCCTGTGAAAAGCAGATCTGAACCCTGTCTTATCCTGTACCAAACTCATAACCCCTGGCAACTTGAGACCATTGCAACAGTCATTGTGCTAATCCATCTGGCTGAGGATCTTCTTCTCTTTGGCCAACCCTCCACCTTTCCAAGCATGATGTCCCTCTCAGCATTGATCACACTGTTAATGCTGTATGCATGCTTCGTGTCATCACCACTTTTAGCTCAATGGATTAAGGAATGGAGTCATTAAATTTTAGAGTGACCCAACTCACCACCTTAATGACATGTGTGACAGATGTTTGGTTGAAGGGCTCCTTGTTCTTGCCCAAGGTTATCTAGACATTCAACCACATAGTCTGAGAAAATGATAACGTTAAAAATATGAATTTCTTATCCCAGTCACAAAAGGACAAATATTACATGATGCCACTGTTGTAGAATGGGACTGTCCTTGGGGTTGGGGAGAGACTGAGTAAGATGGGTTCAATAATGTATACTGCACTGAAACAGAGGAGGGAGAGAACCGTTTAAAAGAGATATATAACTGGGTATTTCTGTCATCACAGGAGACTAGAGCGAGGGCTACATGGTGGAGGGGACCTGGGGGAGGGTTTGTAAAACAATGAAAGAATCTTTTCTTTTACTTTTCCATAATTTTTGGACTCATGTACTTATAACTTGTTAGTCAAATTTGTGTCTTCTAGGTTGCAACACCCCCATGATACATCTTCAAGGATATGAACATGTACAGCCAAGCACAATCAATAAGAGTGCATCTAAATTCCAAAATCAATCTCCATAATAGTCTATGTGTTTCCTACTGCCAAAGGGGCCCTTTAGAGTAGTGAGAGAAGATCTTCACCCTGAAACCCACAGCGTCCCTTTTCAGCAGGAAGTAGATAAGAGAATATGCCATCCCCTTTTCCTTATGACTCAGGGTGAAGTCTCTCTCAGGGAGGAGTGATAGGGAATGGCAAAGGACACACTGACAAAGAAGATTAATCAGAACTGGCTTTGACAAGCACTGTGGCATTTGGACAAGAACAAACTGGGAGGAGGGTAGAGAGAATAGTGTAACAATGAATGAGTGGAAGCCCAAAATCTCTGTAAATGTTTATGAAAATTAATAAAATATAATTATAGAAAAAAAATATGAATTTCTTGTTGGAGGGGGCACTGGTGGGCTGGGGTAATCTGCAGTGTTTTTATCTTGTTAGGTGACAACAAGTTGATGTTTGACTCATAGTGACCCCACGTGACAGAGTAGAGGCGCTGAGAGAGTTTCTGGGACTCTGATCAATCTCTAAGTCTGTGCCAAGAGTGTGGATTGTGGAATCACATAAGCTGAAGTTGTTAACAATCTCAATCTCTTCCCCATCTGCCATGAAGCTGCCAGTTGGCCCAATGGTGAGAATTTTTGTCTTCTTGATGTTGAGTTTCAATCCATATTGAAGTCTATAGTCCTTGACTTTCTGCAGCAAATGCCTCATGTCCCCCTAAGTTTCAGCAAGCTATGTCATCTGCATTGTTGATGAGTCTTCCTCCAATCCTGATGCCACATTTCTCCTCGTAAAGTCCAGCCTCACAAATGATCTCTTGCTCTGCGTATAGATGGAAAAGATATGGAGATAGAATGCATCCCTGGCACGTACCTTTCCTGATCCAGAACCACGCAGTGCTTCCCTGCTCTTTTCTATTGCTTTCTGGTCCAAGTATAGGTTTTGCATGAGCACAATCAAGGGTTCTGGGAGTCCCATTCTTCTCAGGGTTAGCCACAATTTGTTGTCATCCACAAGTAGTCAGCGCCCAAACATTTGTAGATTAAAACACACATGTCATTGTAAATGGTTTTCTTTCTTCTCCTTTATCTTGTTTTGTTGCTGGTGACAGGATTCATTCTGACACACGGAGACCCCATGTGACAGAGGAGAACTGTCTTGTAGGGATTTCTTGGCTATGCACTTTACAGAAGCATTTCAGCAGGGCTTGTCTCCTGTGGAGCCACTGGGTGGGTTTGAACTGTGAACTTTTGGTTTAGCAGTGAAGCCCTTAAGCCTTGTGTTGCCATGACTCCTCCCTTTTGTCTTACTGACAGGGCTTCGTCTTTGTTTGCTTGCTGTGTGCAAGTAAGTGAAGGTGTGCCTGGTTTAATTTCAGGAGGCCTGAGGAGGGGGAATTGTGGAACACTTAAGGGCTTGGCTTGTATAAGAAGCTGTGGATTGAGGACTGAGGCGCAGTCAAATGGCCTAGGGTGCTGCTTCGAGAGAAAGCCCTCCCACCTGCCCGCTAGGTCCTGGTGACAGGGTGGCCCCGGGGCAGAAGCTGTGGTTCGGACCTGGAAGAGCAGCACCAATGTCAGCCCGATGCAGGCAGAGCCGCAGATGCCGTAGCCAGCCAGCAGGAGGCGCCGCCGCCCCAGTAGCTCCACGATAAAGGCCTGCAGGGAGGGGAAGGGGCGCGTTGGCCTCGGACTCTGAGGCCTGCAAGCGAGCTGGGCCTCTGTGTGCCCATCCTTCCTCTGAACGCTGCTCAAACACACTGCCCTGTTGCCTGTTTACTTTGAGATCAAAATGAGGGTCATGCAGTCAAACTCTGCCCCCACTGCCCATCCCTGTCCCAGCCATCTCCAAACCCTACATTTCACTTCTCATATTCCCAGCTACTCCAATGGATGTTCAGGGCCCCCACCCACACTCCTTTTCCAGGTTTTCTTCTGAGACAGGTATCCCCAGCTTTCTGCCAAGGGGACCCTTCTTTGACCTTCCAAGCTGTGGAATTCCTAACTGCCTTTTGTCTTCTAATCCTTATTCCAGCTCTGCTCCAGCCTTCCCCTCCCCTCACTATCATCCAGGGCTGCCTCAGCACCGTATTCCTCCCTGTTCCCTAAAAATCAGAAAGGAGGGGACTGTGGACAGTGAGGACCACCCAGACCAACATTTTATGAAAATAGAGGGAACGGGTCTGAGACCAGCTTTGACTCCAACCTAGTCTGCTCTTCTGGGAGAACTAGGCAGGCTCCTCTTTCTGACCTGTGTCTCAGGTCAGGTGTTGGGGAAGGTACTAGTACTAGGGAATGGATGAGGGCTCAGATGACAGAGGATGGCCCAGCCCCTGAGGGAAAAGGGGAGGGGAGTTAAGGATCCACCAAAGAGAGGGGTGGATGGACTCTGGGGAAAGATCTAAATCTGGGACAGAATCAGCTCCTCGTTACCCCCCCAAAATCCTCCTCTGAATCTTCCTTATTATTTTGAAGCCTCCCACCCTGGCCTCATCCACATCCTAAATCCTCTGAAAATTGACTGTAGCTTCCACTAGCTCTAGGGAAACTTGTGGTTGTTTGCCATTGAGTTAGAGCAGATGCAGAGTTGATCCTTCGGAAGATTTTCAGAGGTAGTTAATCACATGGGAGGAGATTGCCCATCCTCCCATGGAGCACCTGATGGATTCGAACCACATGCCTTTGTGACACAGTTCAGCTTCTTACTACTAGGCCTACCAGAACTCCCTGGGGAAACAAGGACTGAGTAATTAATTCATTTATAGAAGTTAAGGCAAGCTCTGGTGGCCTAGTGGCAAGAAGCTGCAATGCTATCCCAGAGGTGTGCGGTTCAAATCCACCAGATGTTCTGCTGGAGAAGGAGGGACAATCTCCTCCTGTACTAGTCAGATCCAGTTTGATGGTACACACACACACACACACACACACACATAATAAAATAATTTTTAAAAAGGTGTTAAGAGGTTATTATAAGCAACCTAGAAATCAGGAACTAAGATAATAATGAAAGAACAACAACAACAAAAGAGAATAAAAAATAATCCGTTTCTAGCAAGCACCCCTTTGGTCGACTAATCTTTTTCATTCCTCAGTGGTTTGTATTTTCAGATATGACACATTAAAATGACAATATTATGCCAACCAGAAAAAGCACAGATACCAGAATACTGGCCCTGCAATCACCATAATCATGTCACCAAGGAGTAAACTTGGATGTGAAGGTGACTGATGGACCTGCCAAGGGCCCACCCCTGGGAAGTTCGTGCACGTACTGAAAGCGTGTGTCCATCTAACACCCCAAAGATGACTGTGGGGGGGCCACTTGAGACCCCCAGCCACTCACCGAGATCACAGTCATCACAATGTTGACCACGCCGGCCCCCACCGTGACATACTGGGAACTTGAGGGCTCCACACCTGCCGAGACGTAGATCATGTCCGCATAGTAGTTGATCTAAAATAAATGCAAGGGACTGTGACTGGGGGCCTAAAGGCCAGGACGTGTGTGACCAGGGATCCAGAGGCCAGGCTGTGGGTAACGCTTCTGACTGGAACAAGAAACCATCCTGGAAATCTGGTGGGAGAGCCACAGACAGGAAGGAGAAGGCAGGTCATGGAGAAGAACCACGAATTGCAGAAGTCTAGGTTAAACTAAGCCTCAGTTTCCCTGTCTGTGTAATGCGAAAGCTGGGCTAGACCATCTTTTTGTTAGCTGCTTTTGCATTGATCCTTGACTCCTGGCAAAGCTGTAATCTCTTTGGGATCCTTTATGTAATCATTGTGGGGCACTCTAGTGGCCTAGGCCGTAGGGAATTAAACTGCTAACCCGAGGGCTGAGGCTTTCTGGGGGTTTGAATCCATCAGAGGCTGCTCAGGGGAAAGTGAGCATCTCCTTCTGCTCAAGTCACAGCCTTGGGAACCCAGAGCAGGGTCAGCTATGAGTTGGTCCCCATTTGATGACAGGATGGTTTCTTGAGGACCTACAAGCTGAGAAAACTGCTCTACAGCAAGTGAAGAGAGCAGGGGTGTAGGAAGAGGAGTTAGGAGGTGGGAAATCACCATGGCAGCCCCTCCCTGCTTCCAGGCTGTTCCAAAGAGCCCACTGCATTCCCAGCCTTCTGTTGGCTGAGCAGTCTGGTTCTGTAAATTAAGCCTTGTTTTACTTAAGCTCTTTCCAGGGCTGCCTGTGACCTGCAGATGCTCTGTGTAATAAAGTGTGAGCACTCATCATCTGGCTCATCCACTGAATCCCCAACTCTATTCTAGTTCTTCCTGGATGCAGTGATAAACTTCAACACAAAAAGAATCACACTGGTCAGTGGGTTTCAGTGGTAGGATTTGCGGCTTCTACCCAGGAGACTCAAGGCTGATTCCCAACCAAAGCTTCTTATGCACAAGCCGCCACCACTGTTGATCAGTTACTGTGATGCTAAGCTGGTTTCAGCAGTACATATAGACTTAGACAAAGAGGAAAGGCCTGGCTATCTACTTCTGAAATATCAGCCCATAGAAACCCTATGGGTCACAGCAGTCTAGTCTGATCACAGGAATGGCCAAGATTGGGTCATGTTTTATTCTATTATGCAGGAGAGTGCCATAAATTTGGTGCTGATTTGACAACAAGTAGCAACAGCGATGGGAATATTAGGGCACTCTGGTGGCTTAATGGAAAGGAGCTGCACTGCCAACCCAAAGACGTGCGGTTCGAATCCACCAGCTACTCCATGGGGGAAAGATGGACAATCTGGTCCTGTGAGATTTATCACCTCTGAAGATCCACTAGAGGGTCAGCTATGGATGGTTCTAACTCAACAGTACCTAACAACAATAATAATACTATCCTTGGTGTTGTTAGGCACCCTTGAGTCAATTTCAGCTTAAAGTAACCCCTTGAACCAAGTAGAACTGCCTCTCAACTCTGATGGTCCAGTGGTAAGGAACTGCTCTGCCGTAACAAAGGTATGTAGTTCAAATCCACCAGCTGCAATCAGATTGCACCAGAGGGGCAGTCTCCTCCTATGCGATTGAACTGGCTCTAAATCCCTCTGCAGGGTCAGCTATGGGTCGGTTCTGACTTGACGGCACACAACAACTCTGTACAGGAGGAGATCACGTGCTCTTTCTCCGTTGGAGCTGCTGGGTAGATTACAGGTGCCAATCTTTCTGTTACCAGCCAAGTGCTTAAGCACTGTACCATCCAAAACAGAAAACCAAACCCGCTACTACTGAGTTGGTTCAAACTCACAGGAACCCTCCATCTGGCTTCCAAGTCTGCAAATATTTGTGGGAGGAGATTCAAACTGCAGGGCTTTTGGGTGGCAACCCAGCACAGCTGCTGTGCAAAAAAGATCCACCTTCTAGCTCATCCTTGCAAAAACAGTCATGTGCACCGAAAGCCGCCCTCAGGGCCGACCCCTCCTCCTCACCTCCATTAGCCTGCTGCTCTGCGCTCGGCACCCCCATGACGCCCCCCCCCACCCAGGCCCACGTACCGCGTTGACCCCGGACAGCTGCTGGCCGGCCATCAGCACGATGATGGTGATGAGCTGCCAGCGCAGAGGCCGGAAGGTGAACAGGTTGAGCACCGACAGGCGGCCCTCAGCCTCCTCAGCCTCGCTCTCGAGACGCATCTCCTCCATTTCGTCCTCCACATCGGCCCAGCCTCGCAGCACCCTCAGAGCTATGGGAGAGCAGAGCGTGTCCCCACCAGGGCCCAGGCACCCCGACAGACAGCAGCTCATTGGAGGGCAAGGACAAGCGGGCACAGCTCCCCTTCGTCTCTGTCCTCCTCCCTGCACTGGTCCACAGGCTGGCCATCCTCCCAGTGCTGGGTGGTCACTGACTGTTACCTAGATGCCCATGCTGTGAGCACATGCCAACAGCACTGCACCCCTCCCTGATCATACCTCACTTCTCAACACACTGACCAACCCTCTTGCTGATTCTTAACTCTTGGCTGAGCCCCGGGCAGACCTCAACCCAGGGCTGCCAACCTCAATCACAAACTCCTCCACCCCCACTCCAGGCTTGCATCTCCCACATACACCCTGCCCGCTCTAGGAATAGGCCTGGGTAGGCACAGGCTGGGAGATGTGGAGGCACGAGAGGGCTCTGAGATCAGATAGTACCTTTTCTGACTGTCTCCTCATTTCTTTTCTGAATCAAGGTGTAGCGGGGGCTCTCGGGAAAGAAGGGTAGTGACAGGAGTTGAATCAGAGCTGGGATCCCAGTGATGGCCAAGAGCACAGGCCAGCCTGAAAGGAACCAGCGTCATGAACTTGAGGCCTTGGCTGGCTGGGGTCCCCCTGGGATCTCAAGTACATATCGGTGACCTTTGTCCAGAATTCACTTGAGGTGTTTCAGTCCTCAATGAGAACTAAGGACAAGAAAGGACATAGTCCTTGTCAAGATGTAACTGCCTGGAGCCCACCCATGAAGTGCTACACATTAAATATGGAGAAACTAATGATAGTTGAAGAAAGTGTGTGAGCTATTAATTCAACTTGCAAAAAGAGCATTGTTGCCTATAATTAATATATAATAAGTAATAGCATATGATTTACAAGTTTGAGCCCTAGAGGAGGTGACGCCACATCTTGTTCCACTTGGAGAGGGAAGTGGTCCCATCTCTGAGGCTGTGTGAGCTCTTACTGGAAGGTTTGGATTTACAAAGTTGTACTGATGCAGGAAACATCAAAGTCAATTGGCGAGACATGGACCATAAAAACAGTGTTCTCCATCCTACTTTGACAAGTAGTGCTGGAGGGGGGCATTTTAAAGCTTGGGAGTGTCCATCTAAGTGGACCATCTAAGTTGGTTTGTCCCCATTCAGAGTAAAGAAAATCAAAGATTATTATTAACCAAAGGACTAATGGAACATCAGTCTCCTCAGCTTTGAGACCAGAAGAACTAGATAGTGCCCGACTAGCTCGGCTGACCACTCTGAAAGTGATCAAGGTCCTTGCTAGGATGGGAGAAGAGTGTGGAGTGAGACTCACAATCATAAGAATAACCAAGCCTGCTGATCTGATGGACCCCCTGACACTATGACATAGAAGCTGAACTGAAAACACCTCCAGGACTCAACGTCCAGCCCGAACATAGGCAGAAATATGAGGTGGTCAGTTATGTCAGGTAGGAATGCACTCCTTGAAACACTCACCTACACAGGATCATATGTAGTTGTCAAAACTCCACATTTCCACTGCCCCTCCACTTACTGTTCTACTTTATTCCTTCCCTAGTTAGACAGGCTCTTAAGAGTTATCTGTACTGTCTGTGTTTTCTTCTTCTTCTCCCCTGGGCTATTGAGCCTTCTCCTGGCATGTTGCCCCATAACCACAACCCCCCAAACCATACTTGGCACCCATGCCCATCCAGGTCCACATGTCTGACCCCAACATCAGCTTTAAGTCTGCATCCGACCTGACCTGTTTTGCAGTATTGAGCACAGCTGGATGAGGGGCTGACCTGTGTCCCCCTCAGATCAGGCTTCTGCTAGGTGAGATGAGATTACCTGTAGGATTTCCCAGGATGGCCTGCAGGCTGAAGATCTGCCCTAGGAAGATCCCAACGATGACAAAGACCTCGGTCATTGTCCCCAAGGTGCCTCTCAGGTTCTTGGGAGCCAGTTCTCCCAGGTACATGGGAAGGGCACTGTAGGCTATGCCTAGAAGAACAGAATCAAGAAAGAGCCACCTTACCTCCTGTGAGCTGGAATGTGAGGGTTTTAGAATTCTGAGCTGCTCCACGGGCCTAGTTCTTGAAAACATCATCAGTTATTTAAACTTCAGGATAAATGTAGAGATTCTTTGACTTAAAATTACAAATCCCAGAAATCCAAACTTTTTCCTATTGAGTCAACCCTATGGGGTCACAGTGACCCCATGTGTGACAGGACAGAACGGAGTTCCACAGGGTTTTCTTGGCTGCAATCTTTACAGAAGCAGGTCACCAGGCCTTTCCTCACACTGCCAGGTGGGTTCAAATATCCTGACTTAGGTTAGTGTTCTTGTTGCTGTTGTATGCTGTCGAATCAGAGCCAATCCAAGATGTGACTACTCCTTCTAATTCCTGGGGGTTCCAAATAATTTACCCTCAACTGGTAAACAAAGGATTGGTGGTTCAAATCCAGTCAGTAGCACCAGGTAACAGAGGAAACTCAACTCACTGTCGTGGAATTGTGGCCCAGTCACAGGAGGCCTTCCATTGTTTCCAAGGTTGTAAATCACGAAGGAGGTGATTGCTTGGTTTTCTCCCATGAAGCCATTGGTGGATTTGAACCGCCAGAGTGGTGCGGTCTTTCAGCAAGCAGAACAACTCCCTATGGACTAGGCCACCAGAGAAAGGCCTGGTAATCTGCTTCACGCAGAAGACAGCCAAGAGAGAACTGTGGTACAGGGGTGCTGTGAGCTAAAACCGAAAGAACAGCGACACTAGTTTCCTCATCCTGAGCTTGGCTGAGTAGCCCCAGTTCTGAGATTGTGGGGCTCACTCACTCGTAACTGTAAGCAGCTGCAGGAACAGCCTCACGAAGGTCCAGGAGGACTCCCCGGCCCTTCTGCAGGGCTGGTTGTCACTACTGGCCTTGTTTCTCCACGTCCCCTCTATTCTCTGGTAAGTTAGTCTGCTTTCTTGCATAGCTTAATACAAAGTCTCAAGAGCTGAAACTGTGTTTTTAAAGATCCCTCCCTGATTAAAGATCTTGTGACGCAGACGGAAGGACACGCAGTTCACAGGGCCTGAGGGCTGAGACAAGTGGTAGAAAGAGCCAGACTGAGTCAGGAGACCTGAAGAAGCTCATCTTCTACTAGGCCTTGTCCAGCTCTGCCTCACAGGCTTAGGGGTGCCTGTCCAGACCCCACCTCCCACCACCGTGAGCCTGAGCACGGGCTAGGTGTCCCCTGCCACCCCAGGTACCTGCACAGATGCCCAGCACCACTCGAGAAAAGATGATCAGCTCAAAGGCCTTGGCCACTTTGCTGACTCCCATGAGGATGGCAGGGACGATGGCGAAGATGTTGTTGATCAGCAGAGTTCCCTTTCTGCAACAACAGCAAAACTCAGCGGATAGGGGGGGCATACAGCCCCCTGATACCACCTCCTAGTCTCCAAGTCATTCATTCAAAAGTTCCAGGAAGGTGCTTGAGAAAGAAATGATGGGTAGGAAGACAGGGAAGTAAGGATGAATGGGCAGAAACTCCAGGTCGGAAGATTTGGGATTTGGAGGACTGTTGTTAGGTACCATCATGACCACAACAACTCATCACAACCCAGGAATCATGGATCTGAACTGTGCCCTATGCCATGTCATCTCGTAATTTCTGCGATGCTCAAGCCCATTATTATAATCACTGTGTCAGTCCGTCTTGTTGATGGTTTTTCTCTTCTTTTCCTAACCTTCCATCTTTTGCAGCATGCTGTCTGTTTCCAAAGGCTGGTCCTTCCAGACAATATGCCCAAATTAAATAACAAATTTCACTATACTTGCCTCTAAGGAGCACTCTCGTTTCACTTCCTTCAAGAAAGATGCTTGTTTTTTGACAGTCCCTGGTATATTCAATACTCTTCCCCAACACCACAATTCAAAGGCATCAAGTCTTGTTGTTGTTATTATGTACCATTGAGTCACTTGTGACTCATTGTAACCCTATGCATAATAGCTGTGACACCTGCCCTATCCTGAGTCAATCTCACTGCCTTTGGGACACCTATTCCCCTTGCTTTGGTTACTCAAATGGGGTTTTCCACTCTTGTGCTGTCCCACCACCTTTCCAAGCATGATGTTCTTCTCCAAGGATTGATCCCTCCTGGCAACATGCCCAAGGAATGCCAGATGGAACCTCAAAATCTTTACCTCCAAGGATCAAGTTGGTTTCACCCTTCCACAGGACAGATCTGCTTGTTCTTTTGGCATTTCATGATATGATCAATACTCTTCTCCAGCATCACAACTCAAAGGCATGGATTCTCCTGTCATCATTAGTCATTGTCCAGCTCTCTGAGCCATAGCAAAAAATCATGAAAACCATGGCCTGAATTGGGTGCACCTTAGTCTCTAGACTGATATTGTTGCTCTTCAGCACTCTGGAAAGGCTCCTGATATCAGATTTTCCTAATGCAATTTGTCTTTTGATTTACTGACTGCTGGTGCCAAGAATCTTGATTGTGGAGTTCAGCAAGCTGTAACGGTTAACAACTCAGTCTCTTCTCCATCAATTATGGTGCTGCCAGTTGGCCCAGTGGTGAGAATCTGTCTTCTTGATGTTGAATTTCAATCCATATTGAAGACTACAGTCCTTGACTTTCTTCAGGAAATGCTTCAGGTCCTCCTTGGTTTCAGCAAGTGAGATTGTATCATCTGCATAACACAGGTTGCTGATGAGTCTTCCTCTAATCCTGATGCCACATTCCTCCGCATAAAGTCTACCCTCCCGAGTGATCTGTTCTGCTTATAGATTGAAAAGGTATAGAGAGAGGGCATATCCTTGACACATCCTTCCTGATCCTCCTCCCTTCCCCTGCCCAGTTCGTCTCAGGGAAGCTTGGGCTGTCTGATAGACAAAAACAAGGTTGGCCTCACTGCACCACCCCATCTAAAAAATGTTAGGTGCTATTGATCTGAGCATGGCTCAAAGCAACCCTATGAACAACAAACAGATCTGAACCCTGTCCTATCTTGTGCCATTCTCATCATCTCATTTGAGCCCTTTGCTGCAGTTACTGTGTCAGTCCCACTGGTTGAGGGTCTTCCTCTCTTTCACTGACCCTCCACTTTTCAAAGCAAAATGTCCATTTCCAAGGAATAGCCTCATCTAGCAACACGCCCAAAGTATATGAGATGGTGTTTCACCATCCTTGCACCAAGGTTGCACTTTTCCCAAGACATATCTGTTGATGCTTTTGTCAGTACACGGGATATTCAACATTCTTCTCCAACACCTCAATTCAAAGGCATCAATTTTTCTGTCATCCTTATTCATTGTCCAGCTCTCAGATGAATAGCAAGTGACTGAAAAGACTACAGCCTGAATCAGGCACGCTTTAGTCTTCAAACTAACACTATTGTCTTTGATCTTCTGTAGCAAGTATTTCAAGTCCTCCTCACTTTCAGCAAGCAAGGTTGTGTCATTTGCACAATGCAGCTATAAGTAAATTGAGACTTCAATTGCAAAATGAGGGTGATAATAAATCCATTCTCTTAGGTTCCAGTCTCTGTGGCTGTGAGGTTCAAGTAGAGAAATGGAGGCTAAGCCTGGACCTCTGGATTATTCTAGCACTTTAAATGGCATTATTGAGAACCAAAGGACAGAGTCATTGTGGTTGATTCTGACACATAGTGACTCTCTATCAGGTTTCCAAGGCTGCAAACCTTAATGGAATGAAACGGCCCAGCAAAGCAGCTGGTGGATTTGAACCAGTGATCTCTTTGTTAGAAGTGCAACACACTATACATTATACCACTAGAGCTCAGCACTGTTCAAATTACTAAAAAGCCTGAGTTATGTAAGAATTACAGCATACGGAATGTTTTCTTCATTCAAGGACACACAACATGGCAAACCAACTACTAATCAAGAATTTTTTTTCTTCTTTTCTTGTTGTGTGCTGGTGAGTCAGATCCAACTAGCACAGGAGGAAACTGCCGATTCTTCTCCAGCACAGCGTTTGGTGGATTCGAACAGCTTGCCTTTGGGATTGTAGTACAGCCTCTTGCCACTAGGCCATCAGAGCTCCATAATCAAGTATTTAGAAAAAGGAATCCCATGATGGCTGCTTTTATAAATAATACTTAACTTTTATTCAGGAGTAGTTTCCTTTGTATATGAAAACAGAAGTGCCGAAGTTTGGGTCTTTTTAAAAAAATATTTTCTTTAGAGAGTATTCCACTTCCTTCAATAAACTTCCCCACTTGACATGTCCAAGTCCAAGTCCAACTCTAAGTGTGACTGTGAATTCTGAATGAGTGAAGCTGGATGAAGAAAATCCCTGGATGACGGAAATTGGGTGCCCTGCCACCTGGGACCCCACTTTTCCTTACTTGACCTGTGCTTTGTCCTTATCTGTGGAGTCACGTCTTCAAAGCACCTGGGCTTAAGCACGAAGATTAACAGATTTGTGGAAGCCAAGCAAAGTACAAAGAACTCCTCCTCATTTACAAACGAGATATGGAACGGTGGCACACGGAGTGACTTGGCTGAACCCCAAACCTCAGGACAGCAGAACTCTGATGAGGCTTCCCAGGGAGGAGCTGCCGCTATTACCACCTGGAGCCCTGAGCACGTGACCTCAAAATCAACACCAAGCAACCAGCATTTACTGTGCACCTGCCCCAAGTGCTTACGCAGCACTCACCGTGCTAAGTAACATCAAGAACTTTGATCTCAAGGGTTTTACCACGATGTCAGTTTAGAGACTAAGGTGCACCTGATCCAGGCCATGGTCTTCACAATTACTTGCTATGCATTGGAGAGCTGGAAAGATGACAGAAGAAGAACTGATGCCTTTGGGCTGTGGTGCTGGAGAAGATCATTGAACATATTATGGACTGCCAAGAAAACTAACAGGTCTATGCTGGAAAGAGTGAAATCAAGTTGGTCCTTGGAGTCAAGGATTTTGAAGCCCCATCTCACATACTTTGGACACATGGCCAGGAGAGATCAGTCCTTGGAGAAGGACATCATGCTTGAAAGGATGGCTGGACAGTGCAGGAGAGGAAGACCCTGATAAGATGACCCAATAACTGGGATAATGAGGGTAGGTGTGTCGGAGACAGTGAGATTGGCTCAGGATTGAGCAGAGTTCAGAGCTATTGTGCATAGGGTGGCTATGAGTCATGTTTGACAGAACATAACGACTACAATGATAGGGTAGGTAGATGATGGGAGAGAACACTATTCCCAGGCAACTTCCTGTTGGTATTGTCAGCTGCTATCAAGGCCACTGGTTTACAGTGACCTCTGGGACCAGATCATTGTAATCTATAGGGTGTTCACACCAGGCCTTTCTCCCTGGTTCATTTTCATCTGAAGTTCTGTAGAAATCTATTCAGTGACACTCATCCTCCATTGATGGATGAGTGGTGGGTGCCCTTGAGGTGTACTGACTGGGAATCAAACTGGGGTCTCCCACACGGAAGATGAGAATTCTCCCACTGACCTACCGCTGTACTCATATGCAACTAATCAAAGAAAGAAATCTGAGAGGAATTCAGGGGCTTCCCATAAGGTAAAGGTGTCATGGCAAAGTGGGGGTCAGACTTTGGACTCTGTATTTAAGGATTGCACCATCTCACCTGCCTCAAACTCATCACCAGGAGAAGGTGTGGGTTACTAACGTGGATTTCAAAGGGGCCTCCTGCTTGCTTACCTGCCACACTTATCAACCAGCAGGCCGACGACCAGCGACCCCAACAAGCCGCCCAGGGGGAACATGGACACAGTGCAAGACCACAGGAGCAGTGTGACGTTCTCGTCCAGGAACGTGCCGTATCGCTCAAAGTAGGTTTCGTTATAAAATGACTTCAGGACCTGGAAAACATCACCCAGTGCCCAGAAGAGTGTTGTGTAGCTTATGAGCGATGATGGTCACGTATTGTCAGCATACGGGGGAGTATCTGTGCTGATAACCCCAGACATAACTGAACCCTCTCTCTTGTTACCTGAGTCGGTCAGACAACATGGTAATTGAGAGGAGTAGTCAGATTGCACAAAAATCTTTCTCGATCTGTTCAATAATTCACTTTCCAGAGACTTATCCTGCAAGAGGGGGGTTCTGGTGGCATGGTCTGTATGGAGTTGGTCTGCTGACCAACGGCTTTACCTCTCTGGTAGAGCGTGAGTTATAATCTGAGAGATCATACAAAGGCTTTATGAGTTTCCCAAAGCATTGTGTATTTGCATATGTGAATTATGTTTTATTTTTTAAAAAAATCAAAGTCATTATTTTAGGGCCTCTCTTCATCCAGCTGACGACAACAATGATGACGACGACGACTACTACTATAGTAATTGTGTGTGGTATATAGTCATATTCATATAATTAATAAAAATTCGTATCATTAGCTGCCTCTTGAAGCATAGTCAAAGAAAAACAAAACCAACCACAAAAAAATAAAACGTTGCTGGTGAGTTGGCACAGACTCAAAGTTGACCCTTTAGCAGATTTCCAAAGTTGTAGATCACGTGGGAAGAGACTGCCCATCTTTCTCCACAGCGCTGCTGGTGGATTTGAACCACTACTCTGAGTTGGCAGTGCAACTCCCAACCCACCAGGCCACTAGAGCCCCCTTCATCGGTTACAGAAGTGGTATATGTAGAGAATTTGTGGCCATTAAATGTGATTATGTGCTAGTTCCTGGCTTGACTAAGATGTTCCATCAAGAGTAATAATTATATGGATAACAATATACACCAGGAGCATTTATAGGCAATCTCCTATAGCAGTCTGTTGAGTAAGCATGGCCCTAAACAAATGACATTAATTTTTTGACAATTACAGCAGAATCCACATATATAAATGCACAATAATTGTACCTGTTCCTCCACCCCTGTCCCAACACGGGGTCCTGTCTCCTTTGGCCTTTCACAGACTTTCTTGCCTGTAATTGTCTCTGCTCTGACCTGCATTGCTGATCCTTCTCTCTTCACCCCATCCTTAACATCACCATGCAAACATAGCTGCTACTCTGTAAAAGTTAAACTTGACCCTCTGATCTTGCTCCAGCTTCTTGTTGTTAACTGCGGTTGAGTCAACAAATTAATTACGAAGGACTGTTCTCAGGTCCTGTCCATCTTTGTGACTACGGGTTTGTCTGAGCCTATTATTTTGACTCTTGAGTCAGTCCATCTTGTTGAGGCTTTCCCTCATTTTTCATAAACCGTTGACCGACCATGATGCCCTTTGCTAGTGATTGGTCTTTCGTGATGATGTGTCCAAAAAGAGCAAATGGAAGAAGCTTTGCCATCCTTGCTTCTAAGGAGCATACTGGTGTTGATTCTAAGTCTGATCTGTCCCTTCAACATAGTTCCTTCCAGCTAAGCTCCCTTTGTGTGCTCTCCTTTAAAACAAACAAAAATTGCCCCCAAAAAGTCATGTGTACTCCCTTGTCACTACTTCATCCTGCGCATTCTCTCTTGAACCCACTCCAGTCATGTTTTCCCTTCAGTTGCTCTAATCCAAATAACCCTCAGCTACTCTGGCCCACTTCACCCTCAGCTTTGCTCGCCCTGATCACCTTTAGCTGCCCTTTCCCAGATCACCCTCAGCTTCTCTCATTCAAATCACCCTCAGCTGCTCTTGCCCAGATCACCCTCAGCTGCTGTCGTCCAGATCACCCTCAGCTTCTCTCACCCAGATCACCCTCAGCTTCTCTCATTCAAATCACCCTCAGCTGCTCTTGCCCAGATCACCCTCAGCTGCTGTCATTCAGATCACCCTCAGCTGCTTTCATTCAGATCACCCTCAGCTGCTCTTGCCCACATCACCCTCAGCTGCCCTAATACAGATCACCCTCAGCTACTGTCACCCAGATCACCCTCAGCTTCTCTCGTCCAGATCACCTTCAGCTACTCTTGCCCAGATCACCCTCCACAAGATCAAAGCTGCTGGTTGGTTCTCTGTCTCCTCTTGGCTTTCCCCCTCTTTGACACACAGCCTTTACTAGACCTTGGGAACACTCTCCTCTGGGTCTCCCCAACCTGACAGGAGCCCCTGCACTGATTCCTCTGTTTCTCTCCTCCCCAGTCTCAATCTTTACATGCCTTAGAGTGCTTGCTTGACTCCTTCTCTTTGCCCTCTCTGAAGGTCTTCCCAGGAGAGAGCAGCAGAACTGAGGGCTAAAGTCACTGGGCAGGAAACTGGCCCCTTGGCATCCCGCTATGCTGTAGGAGGATGACACATCCCAGGAGCACACATCAGTCCCCCCTTGGTCTCCAGAAGCAAGCATCCAGAAAGGGACTTGAAGATATTGCAGGGGGTGAGTGAGGGACATGGAAGCCTCCAGAAGGAAGATGGCAACCTTCAGAGGAAAATGTGGAAAAGAGATGCAGCTGCTGGCCAGTCTTGTAGATCCAAGACAGTTGCCCACCAACCCACCTTGTGCCCACCTTGTGAGGTGTGTTGACCACAGAGATGTTGTATCCGTACTGGAAGGCTGAGCCGAAGGCCGCACTCAGTGTCGCCAGGACCAGCGTGGGCTGAAGTCGCTGTGGGAGTCAAGGACTGCGTTCAAGTACTCTCCAGGGCTGGCCCTGGTGCAGACTATATAAATGGGGTAAAGGGGACACCCCCTGAGGCCATATTCAAGGAAAGTAGAGCAGGCGGCTGTGCAGGGACATCAGCCCAAAGCTGGGGGGCAGGTAGGTGGCATTATTTACTGTTTCTCTGGATATGCATTCATTCTTTATTGGAGTGCCCACTATGTGTATGATTGTGTGATCTTGTGCTAAGGTGTACAACAAAGAAGAGACCTAAAAAAGCATTGACCTCATGGAGCTTACGTTCTAGTGAAGAGGGTGAGGGAAAGACATCTGATACTCCTAGATAGTGACAGTGTTATGGAAACAGTAAAACAGGGTAATAGCACTGAAACCTTTATGGACAAGGGAGCCATTTTTTAGCAGCTTAAACAGAAAAAGCCTCTGTGGTGAGGTGCCCTTTGAGTTGAGCCCTGGATGACCGGAAGGCACTGGCTGTGGAGAGTCTAAAGAAACAATGTTCCAGCTAGAACGACAGACAGAAGCCCTGAGGTGAGGGAACACATACAGCTTGTTTTTCCCTCAGAACAGGTGCCCTGGAAAACCTGTAAGGCTGTCCCTGGGCTCACATGTTGTACTACAGACCTAAAGGTCAAAAGTCCCTGGCGATGTGAACTCACCAGGCCCATCTGAAGGAGAAAAGTGAGGAGTCTCCTCCTGTTAAGATTAACAGCCTTGGACACCCGAAGGTGAGAGGGGTGAGCTGGAACCGATTAGATCACTGTGAGCGAGCTCACTTCCACTTGCTTCCCTGTCTGCCACACACTCACAGTGTGAGGAGAGAGCGGTAGACTGGGCTGTGAGCTGAGGGTCCCCAGTGAGGGGCGCCCCCCAGAGCTCCACTAGGGAGCTGGCCCTGGATTACCCTCTACACGCCTCTGCTTGCTCTTTATAACTGTGCTCCGCACTCTATCACGCTCCCTCACACTCCACCCTCAACCTTACCCGCACCCCTCATTCTTCATACCTTACCCACCACCACCTTACCACACAACCCAATCACACCCCAACCCCTACTACTCTCACCCCCACAACACCCTCACCGTGCCTTCACCCCATCACACTCTCACCCCACTCCCAGCAGACCTCACTTCTACTCACATTTTCACTTCCACCAACACCCTCCTCCCAACATTCTCTGCACCACATTCACTTCACATTTCTCAACAAACAACTTCACCCCCACTTCTACCACATCCACACCCCTCATTCCAACACATCTTTACCCCCACTTCTAATACTCTCACACCCTATCCCCCCAACAAATCCTCACTTTTAACCCCACCACATCCATGCCTCCACCCCTATTTTACCCCCTCACCATACCTTGGCCATACCTTCACCTCCACCATACGCTGCCTCCACCACTTTTTGCTCCCACTCACATTCTTCTCCCTTCATACATTCACCCCCATGACACGCACCCCCATTCTCATCACACCTTATTTCAACTCACACCCTCACCATTACCAACACCCCCACCATATCCATACCCACACTTGACCCCATCTTCCCATCCCCTCATACCTTCACTCCCATGACCCCCACCCCTTTCATATTATACCCTCCCCCATCCTACAGACACCTCCGCTTCCACCTTCACCCCTTCATGCCAGGAAGTCAGCAGCTGCCTGCCCGTCTACAGCCCCAGGCCGAGCACATTCAGTTACCAAAGAGAGAAGGACAGGATTTGGTTATCTTCAGAGACACCTCTCTTCTCATAGGGTGGGGAAGCAGGTGGGAGTGAGGGGAGGGGAGCCTGCCTTCTCTAGCATCCTCATATCCTCCTTCCTTTCTGCCCGAGGGCTGGTACCCTTAGGAATACCGCTAGGAAGGACAGGGGCAGGAGGCCACCTTCATCCCAGTGCTGTTCCTTGCTTGAGCCCTCCCCTCTGTCCATGGAGCTGCCTGTTTAGTGGGACAGGGACAATGGTGGTGACTGCTGGCACTCACCCCCTCCCTGGAGGAGGCAGACCCTGGAGGCCTCATCTCCTTGTTGTCCATCTTTCCTTTTTCAGGTAGGAAGCAGGTATGTTCTGCCTTCCAGGTGACACTTCAGTCCTGCGTGCTGGGCGCTGACCAGGGCAGAACCGGCTCGCTCGCTCCTGCGCCCCACGGGTTTATTACTCTGTGGCCTCTGGACTGTGCAGACTTTCTCCAAGAGCACATTAAGTGCACATTTTCCTTGGATGTGTTGATAAGATATGCGTAGGTGTGTTGCTTTTAAAAAACCACTTTATTGTGACAGAAGTTTACAGAGCACATTCGTTTCTTGGTCAATAATTTATACACATTTTATTCCATGGCATTAGTTGCAGTCCCCTCATTGTCATAGCACTCTTTCCACATGCTCTCTGGGTTCTGTTCTCATTCATCCTTGCCTGCCCCCTTCCTGCCTTCTGAACTTTGTTGTGCAAATGCTGTCCTTTGGTCTCATATGATCGATTGTTCTGAGGATCGTGTTCCTCACAGATAATTATCATTCGACTTTAACTATCTATAGTTTGTCTGTAAGGTGATCCCCACAGGTGGGTTCAGTTGTATGCCTGAAGGATATCTAAGGCCCAATCTTGGGAGCTGGAGCCGGTAACTCTGGTTGTTTGTTTTTATGATTCTGAATTTTGTTCGACATTTTTTTCCTATCTGTCCTGGACCACTTACTAGGATTCTAATCAGAGTGACCAGTAATGGTTGCTTGGCACCATCTAGCTCTTCTGGTCTCAGGCTGGTGAAGGCTGTGGTTTGTGTGATGTTAGTTCTTGTGCCTAATTATTTCCCCAAGTCTTTGACTGTCCTCATCTTGGACTAGGAGAGTACAAAATTTGCATCTTAGATGGCTTTTAAGACCTTGATCTTTATTCAGCAAAGTTTGATATAAAACATGTCTTTGTGGACTAGGTTATACAATAGACTTAGATATTCCCCCACATTATGATCTAAGCCTCCACACTGAGTGATTCAGTCTCTTACAGTATTGGGTTATGGATAAGAAGTTTTCATACCTTTGTCTCCTAGATGTTCTGCTATGTGTGTGGATATATTTGCAGAACATACAGACATCCATGTAGAAATATTCTCTGCCAAGCTCATGGGTGTACTCTCATAAACCATCCCACACTTATCCTCTTGCATATATACTTACAAGAATTATCACTTATTTCTATTTCAGTTACAAGAATTATCACTTATTTCTATTTCAGTCTTCAATATGGATTGAAGCTCAAAGATTCTCACCACTGGGCCAGCTGACAGCATCATGATAGATGGAGAAGAGATTGAGATGGTTAACAATTTCATTTTGCTCAGGTCTCCAATCAACACTCTTGGAACCAGCAGCTCTGAAATCAAAAGACTAATTGAATTAGCAAAGTCTGCTGTCAGGGACCTCTCAGAGTGCTGAATGAAGTCCAAAGATGTCAGTCCAGAGACTAAGGTGTGCGTGATCTAGGCCATGGTCTTTGTAATTACTTGCTATGCATCAGAGAGCTGGACAATGACTAGGTATGATAAAAGAATTGATGCCTTTGAGTTGTGATGTTGGAGAAGAGTATTGAACATAACATAAACTGCCAAGAGTACAAACAGATCTGTCCTGGAGAGAGTGAAACCAAGTTTCTCTCTGGAGGCAAGTATTTTTAAGCTCCATCTCACATACTTTGGGCATTTTGTCAGGAGGGAGCAGGCCTTAAAGAAGGACATCATTCTTGGAAGGGTGGAGGGACAGAGCGGGAGAGGAAGACTCTGGATGAGATGGGTGACTTGGGTAACAGGGGCAGGTGTGTTGGAGACAATGAGATTGGCTCAGGATAGGACAGTGCCCAGAGCTATTGCGCATATGGACACTAGGAGTCTCAGGTGACTCAATGGCACATAACAACAGCAATAACTTGTTGTTTTAAGAGGGAGCGATTCTAATGGCCTAGTGGTAAGAAGCTGTGCTTCAATCCCAAAAGTGTGCAGTTCCAATCCACCAGCTGCTCCACAGGAGAAAATGGGCAATACCCTCTTATGCTTTAACTGCCTCTGAAAACCCACTAGAGGACCAGCTACAGGTTAGTTCTGACTTGATAGCACATAATGACAACAACCAACATTATTGAAGGATTGTGTATATTATAGTATTTGTCACTATTACCTTTTACTCTTGCGTACCTCCTAATGTCTTAGTAATATTCTATAAATTTATTGCATGATGACCAAAGGAAAAAAAATAATATTGATAATATTTTAAAGTTTTAGATTTTGTGGAGGCTTGATTTGTGGGATAAAATGTGTTCTATTCTAGAGACTGACCCATATGCATTAGAAAAGAATGCATACTTTGCTGCTGTCAAGTGTTCTGCATGTATTTATGAAGTTAATATGGTTGATTATGGCATCTTTATGTTTGTTGAGTATTTTTCTAGTTCTTTCACCAAATATGGCATATCGAAGTCTCCTACTTTTATTGTGGAGATGTCTCTTTCTTTTTTCAATACTGTTAGAATTTATTTCACCTATTTTGGAACCCTACCAAAAAGGCTTTTTAAGTCTTTTGTTCACAGGGTCATTTTGAGTTGTTCCCTTCTCAATGGCAACCAATAACAACAATTATTGGATATATATGCATTTATTATGACTCTATCCTCTTGGTAGACTGATTCTTTAATCATATAATATTTTTCCTTATATTTTATGATGGGTTTTACCATAAAGGCTTTTTTTAATTAGAGATTAATATTACCTTTTTAAACCATTGGGGGTTTTTTATTTTTTAAATTTTATTTTTATTATTTTTTATGCATGTACCGTCAAGTCAGACCTGACTGGTACGGGAGGAAATTGTGCCTCCTTCTCCGGCAGAGCATCTGGTGGATTCGAACCATGTACCTTTGGGATTGCAGTACAGCTTCTTGCCACTAGGCCACCAGAGCTCCCCTAAACCATTGGGTTCTTAACACTCAGCCTTTTTAACAGTTGGTTTGGGGCTGGAAGCCTTTTACTTAAAGTAGGTAAATCCCAGCAGGTGGGCCTTTTTTATCAACAGCCGGTTGGAGGCTACGTGAAGCTCTACAGCAAGGATTCAGTAGAGCTTTCCATGTGTCCTTAAAATCCACATGTAGGACATTACTCCAGCCTGCCAACCATGAGTGTCAGCTGGAGCACTACAACACCCTCCCGTAGCACATCTTGCCACATCCATGCAAACTTCAACTCGTATGCCTGATTTGCTATTAGAAGTATTATGCTAAATCGTCAGTTTGTTGTAATTTGAGAGTACTTATTTCCAAACTGACAGCACTGTCAGTTTTCTGCCCTGAGATAACTTGTTGGTTGCTGTAGTGCTGAAAGCTATGCCACCAGTGTGTCAAATGCCACAAAAGTCATCATGAATAGGCTTAAGATTAAGACAGATTTAGACAAGCTAGGAAGCAGGATTTACCATCCACTTTTTAAATAGCAGTCCTCTGAAATCCCCATAAATAGCAGAGGAACACAGACAGCCATAGTATTAGAGGTAGATCCAGATTGGAAGTCAATATAAATGAGGAAAAATAGTGGCAAACAACCTTTAATAACTGAAACATGGAATGTACAAAGAATAAATGTTGCAAAATGAAAAATTGTGAAAAGTGAAATGGAATGCATGAACATCAACATTCTAGGCATTAGTGAGAGGATATGGACTAGTTCTGGCCACTTTGAATCAGATAATCACATGGTATACTATGTTGAGAACAAAAAACCAGAAGAATGATGTTGCATTCATAGTAAAAAAGTCAATTTCAAATTCTATCCTGAAGTACTACATTGTGGTAGGATAACATCCATACACATACAAGGAATATCTACTAATATGACTATTACTCAAATATATGCTCCTGCTTTTAGAGCCAAAGACGAGGAAATTGAAAATTTTTACCAAATCTTGCAGTCTAAAATGGACTGAACATGCAACCAAGATGTGTTGATGATAATTGGTGACCGGAATGCAAATGTAGGAAACAAAAAAGAAGGAATGGTAGTTGGAAAGTGTGGACTTGGGGCTAGAAATGGAATGATAAAATTTTGTAGTTTCAATTATTTATCCATTGCAAATACCTTTTTTAAAAAACACAAACGGTGACTTTACACATGGACCTCACCTGATAGGAATCAGACGGATTATATCTATGGAAGGAATAATTGGAGAAACTGAATATCAGCAGTCAAAACTAGTCCAGGGATGGACTATGGATTAGCAGCTATTCATGAGGCCAAATAAAATGAAAACAAGTCTAGAAGAACCTAGGTATAAACTTGAGTCTATTCCACCTGAATTTCAAAGACATCTTAAGAATAGGTTTGAAGTACTG